TTTTAAATAGCTTAGTTTTGTCCTGAGGGGGGGGGGCGACCTGCCTTGAGCTGAAAAAAAACAGCTGAGAAGATCTGGCCGGAGTAAAAAAAAAAAAACTAAGCTTTTTTTTAACCTCTTCTCCGTTCACAGCGAAAAACAAAAAGCTGTGAACTACAAAGAGGATTCTAACGACTGAGTTCCTCCCTGCTCCTTTCTTGCCTGAAAGGAGAGATATCTATAGATCTTTTAGATATACAAACCAGAACTCTTGAGGGCAGCTCCGTTGAGCCACCGGCGACGGCAGGCCCCTCCCCCGGAAGTCTCAACCTTCCTTTCCCTTGCAGAGGTGGCCGCCCCCTGGACCGAGGAGACCATCAAGCACTGCCTCTACCTCTACTTGGCCCTCCTTCCCCAGAACCACAAGCTCATCCACGAGTTGGCGTCCGTCTACACGGAGGCCATTGCGGACATCAAGCGGACCATCCTCAGGGTGATCGAGCAGCCGGTGAGTCGGCAGAGAGCCATCCCTCTCTCCCCTCCGGGGCAAAGCGGCTCCCCTCCCCTCCTCCTCCCCCGTGGCTTACGCTTCCCCATCTCCAGATCCGCGGGATGGGCATGAATTCTCAGGAGCTGCTGAAGCTGGTGAAAAACTGCCCCAAGGGAGCCGAAACTCTGGTCACCCGGTGCCTCCACAGCCTGACCGATAAAGGTAGGGCTTTGCCAGGGGATCCGCTGGGCCTTTGGGCTCTCCGGCTACTCCAGGCCCCCATGGTTCTCCCTCTGCAGTTCCTCCGTCTCCGGAGCTGGTGAAACGAGTTCGAGATCTCTACAACAAGAGGCTCCCGGATGTCCGATTCCTCATCCCGGTTCTCAACGGCTTGGAAAAGGTACCCCTGGCCGCCTTCCTGCTTTCTTAACGTCCTTTATTGAATTATCAGAGACAAAATGCAAAAGGGAATAGGAAAACGGTGGGGAGGAAGAGGAGGAAGAGAAGTGAGGGAGGCTGAGAAGAGAAAGAAACATTGATTTCTGACTCTCTCTCTCTCTCTCGCCGCAAAATGAAGCATGAACCTCAAATCACAATTATTTTGTTTTTTGTTGTGCCCTTTGCATTCTTACCTGAGGCCCCCTTAAGGTGCGTTACAAGGAATCCTCGACTTACGGCCACAGATTTTTGTGCCCAAGTGAAACTTTTGTTCAATAAATTTTGCCCCGTTTTACGACCCTTTGTGCCACGGTCGTTAGGGGAATGGCCGCAGTTGTTGCTCACACGGCTGTTGAGCGAATCCGGCTTCCCCGTTGCCTTGGCGTCTCAGAGGATCACAAAAGGTGACGCCACCGTCATAAATATGAGGCAGCTGCCAAGTGTCCAAATTTGATCACGTGACCACAGGGAGGCTGCAACGGTCGTAAAGTGTGAAAAACAGTCCTACGTCGCTTTCTTCAGTGCTGTTGTAACTTCAAACGGTCACTAAATGAACTGTTGTAAGTCAAGGACTCCCTGTATTCTCTGCTAGTGTCTTATTTCACTGAGTAGAGGATTGGGGCCCCGTGCCCTGCAGGACCCGTGAGGACGTAGCAGAGAAGCCAAGGCCCTCTGAAGGCTGACAGAAGGAGAGAGGAAAAGGCAGGGCTCACCACAGCCCATCCGCTCTCTCTCTCTATCTCTCTCTCTCTCTCTCTTTCTCTCTCCTTTTTCTTTCTCTCTTTCTCTCTCCCTCTTTCTCTCCTCTCTTTCTCTCTCTCCCTCTTTCTCCTTTCTCTCTTTCTTTCTCTCTCCTTTTTCTTTCTCTCTTTCTCTCTCTTTCTCTCCTCTCTTTCTCTCTCTCTCTCCCTCTTTCTCCTTTCTCTTTCTCTCTCTCTCTCTTTTTCTCTTTCTCTCTCCTTCTTTTTCTTTCTCTCTTTCTCTCTCCTTTTTCTTTCTCTCTTTCTCTCTTCCTCTTTCTCCTTTCTTTCTCTCTCCCTCTTTCTCCTTTCTCTCTCTCTCTCTCTCTTTCTCTCTTTCTTTCTCCTTTTTCTTTCTCACTTTCTCTCTCCTTTCTCTTTCTCACTCTTTCTCCTTCTCTCTCCTTTTTCTTTCTCTTTCTCTCTCCCTCTTTCTCTCCTCTCTTTCTCTCTCTCTTTCTCCCTCTCTTTTTCCCTCTTTCTCTCTCCTTTCTCTTTCTCTCTCTTTCTCTCTCTCTCTTTCTCTCCTCTTTCTTTCTCTCTCTCTTTCTCCCTCTCTCCCTCCCTCCCTCTTTCTCACACTCTCCCTCCCTCCACCCGGTCTCTTTCTAGAAAGAGGTGATCCAGGCTTTGCCCAAGCTCATCAAGCTGAATCCCATCGTGGTGAAGGAAGTCTTTAACCGGCTCCTGGGAACCCAACACGGTAGGGACCACGGCCCATCCCAGCTTCAAACGCCCAACCTTTTGCCCTTGCAAGGAGGGACCAACGCCAAGGTGGGGGGGAAAGGGAGCCCTGGGGGAGGACTTGAGTAGCTGCCGGACCGAACAAGTGGACCCAGCAGCTCCGTCCTTCTGGAGAATCCGTGGGGCTAATTTCTCTCGCGGTCGTTTCCACAGGTGAAGGGAATTCCACCGTTTCCCCCCTCAATCCCGGGGAGCTCCTGATCGCCCTGCACAACATCGATTCCACCAAGTGCGACATGAAGTCCATCATCAAAGGTTGGCTGCCTCTGGGCTTCTGCTCGCCTTCCGCCAGACCAGTTGGACTCATCACGGAGGGGTCCATGGTCCCCTTAAAAGGGGCCCCTGGGTGGGCGCCACAACTCCCAAAACTCCAAAGGCCGTACTGAGTGTCCCCACTTACTCGAAGCTGGGTTGGAAGGAAGGCTTCCAGGCCACCATTATTATATCCGGTAGTGAACGTAGTGGGGAGACCCTCGGAATTCTGGCACAGTTGTGGCTCTGGGCTAGTGTTTCTCAACCTTGGCCACTTGAAGATGTCCGGACTTCAACTCCCAGAATTCCCCAGCCAGCGAATGCNCATATATAATTTTGCATATATAATTTTGCATATATAATTTTGCATATATAATTTTTATTTAGCTTCATGCAAGCAGACGATGCATTTGCCTTTATATTACCCTTTGAAAATCATCATAGATTTGACTAGAAACTATGGAGAAGAAGAATATTAGAAACTGGAAAAGAAGTCTTCATTGGGTTCACACCACTGACATGGTATTTTATTGGCCCATACCTAAAAGTCCTTCTATTTGGATTTTCTCATCCCTCTACCTTTTTTATTCTTTCTTGAGCAATATCTTTTTGAAGGATTTAAAAAATTAACATAACTTATTATTTTCAGCTGCCTTATCTGATCTAAATCTATACCATTTGTTATTTGGCATTTTTCCAGTCCAGTGTTGCATTCATTTTCATCCTTTTCTTTTTTTTTAATATACAGTTATTTGTCCAGTCTGTTAGTAATTCAAGCTAAATTAAAATGTTAAACTCTGCTTACTAGTTTTTTCCACAGTGATTTTTTAAATTGTGCTGCCATATATAGTTTGTTTTGCTTCTTTTGTTGCTTTTCCCTTTAAAATCTTGAGGGAAAATTTGTCCCTGATCCAGAGAGAAATATACATTGTACCCCTTAGTGACACACTGACTTGAGTGGCCATAAAGGAAATTTATAATAAATGTATGAATCTATAAGAAAAAATATAATAAGCCAGAGAACAATTTTAATTTCTGCTTAAGGAAGGTGTTAATTTTCATTTTGGTTTTAATAAAATTACAGACCTTTCTTAAACAGATATTAAAATAGTTCTCTGGACTTATTCTTTTCTAATATATTCATGCATTTATTATAAATTTCAGCTGTGGTTGTCTTTTAAGGAAAATTGAACTTTAATGCAAATGTATAGATGTATTCTGATCAAATGATGCTGTCCTTAAAATTTCCTTTTAAATTTATGGAAGATTATGGAGAACCTGAAAAAAATGAAATTAACAGAAATAGTCAAGGAATAGGAGGAAAATCAGGATTTTATAAAGGGCAACTGGGGAGGGTGTTTCAAATTATTCAGAAATTCAACCTTAATAAATTCATTATGAGGGTTGGAATTTCTTCTTGCAGTTCTTATGACTGTATTTCAGCATAGCATTATTTTGCTAAAATCTGTATAGGTTTTTCTTCTTGACCTACATATTCAGCATCTTTTCTGTTGCCACCAAAAGCAAGTTACTCTTTGATGAAGTTAGGACTTTTAATTTAGAAAAATGGTGACTGAGGAGAGAGACGTAAAAGGGATGTATATACGTATATATTGTTAGTAAGGTTGACAGAGAACAATAGACTTTGGAATTATCCAGTGAAATATGATGAAGATTTCAAATACATAAAAAAGATAGGTGCTCTACTGTCAAATTTGCTAACAGTTGTAATTAGCAAGCTGGATGGCTTTAAAATGGCTTTCAACTGGAAAAATGCATGAACAAACAATTGGTCATTAGTCATGGTAGCTGCATATATATTAAAGGCAGTGGGAATGCCTCTAAATACCAGTTGTCAAGGAATGTGTTGCTGTGAGCAGAAATGTGGTATTATGGTCTTTTTCAGAGTTTCAGAGCCACTGAGGGAAACAATGTTGGTTTTGTCACATTGGTGCATATAGCCCAAGTTCCCGTAAGCATGGAAGTTACATGGATGTTACACATACAGATGTGTCTTGCTCTGTCACATAAGTTTACTCTCCTCTTTGCGTGTAGGAGGGATTTTAAAAAATTATGCTATTGAGTCAGGGTACATGATGAAATATTTAAACTCTGTAAACTATCACCCATAGTGATAGGATGTTGCCCCTGGGGATGTGGACAAGGCCATGAGAGCTGTAAGTGCCTCCACCTGCGTACTGGACCCGTGTCCCTCATGGCTGGTTGCCAACAGCAGT